CTCAGAGCTAATTGTGTTGTCAGTAAGCAAATGTGCTTATAATGTACTGACTTCTCTCTTCTGCAGTTGAATTACTCTTTGTTGCCACCCTGCTGATGACCCACCTTAGCAAGCTGGCTGAAGATCTCATCATCTACAGTACCAGCGAGTTCGGCCTTGTGACCCTCTCTGATGCCCTCACGTAGGTTTCTGGGTTTCTAGGCAGATTCTTTTTATGAATAGGTCTCCTGAAAGGTCCCCATTCCTCTTCAGTGACTCTCTGTTAGCCATTCCAGTAACTTCCTAGAATCTGTACTCAAGGGACACTCCTCCCCAGTACCTGCTGGCAGGATCAGGCTGCAGAGCAGCAGGCAGAGAGAGCTCCTCTGCTTTGAAGCTAGAGAAGCTTCCTATTTTCTTCCTCTTTGGGACACAGCTAAGGGCAGGACTTTGCGGGAGGTCCATACAAGACTAAGATTTAATGCTCACCTTTGTTTTCAGCACTGGCAGCATCCTGATGCCTCAGAAGAAGAACCCTATAAGCCTGGAACTGATCCGCAGCAAGACTGGACGTGTGCTTGGCCGGGTGAGTCTGCTGAAGGAAGATGTGGAATGGGGGAATAGCTCAGACTGGGGCTAGTACAGTTTCCATGATGGATTAGATGAGATCCCTTTCCTCCCGCTAAAAGCATCCCAGGAAAACTGCACTGCTTCCATCCCCATATCTTAGCAGCATCCTGTAGGTGAGGAATTAGCACCCTTCATCTTCAAGGCTCCGCGTAGAGAAATGTGCCAGTCTTATCTCTGAATCTCTGCTGGGGAAACGTGCATCTCTTCCTATAGCTAAGTGCCATTCCTGCTCTTCCCTGCAGCTTGTCTCCATTATCATGGTTCTCAAAGGACTTCCAAGCACCTTCAGCAAGGATCTGCAGGTAAAACAGATGATTGCTCTCAGTGCATTTTTCTGAAAAGACACAACTGTCCCCTTAGCTGCAAGCAGTTCTTGCCACTGGCTTTCCCTGCTGCAGCCCTGGGGAACCCCTCAGGTGTCTGCACTGCTCTGCTGGCCTCGCTGCTCAGGCTGCCGGGCTTTCCACCTGCTCCTGTTTGACTTACTGCAACCCCTCTCCATCCATGTTATCACACAGGAGGACAAGGAGGCTGTCATTGATGTGGTGGACACCCTGACTGCTGTGATCCAGCTTGCCACTGCAGTCATTTCTACCCTCCAGGTAAGGCTTTGACCTCTCAGGGGCTGCTCAGCTGCTCAGATCCACTCTGCTCTGGGGTCATATGGGGCTGAGGGCCCAGATGAAAAGCCCTCACTGTGACAGCAGTGTGTCCCAGGCAGGAGCTGACTGTGATGTGTCCTTCTGACCCTTCTCTCTGCAGATCAACAAGGAGAACATGGAGAAGGCTTTGACCCCTGAAATTCTGTCCAGTGACCTGGCTCTCTACTTGGTTCGTAAAGGAGTAAGTATCACGGGGAGACTCTGAGCTTGGTTTCTTTAGACCCACAATACTGCTCAGTGAGGGCCTGAGATGAGGCCTTCTGTTCTGTCCCCAGGTGAGGATCAGTCTGGGTCAACAAACACGAAAGCTGGAAACATATTCTTTACATGTATCCCATGTAGTGGAACTGCTGCCAGGTGGACTTGATAGTAATTTACAGGTGGAGTTCTACCTCCTAGTGCCTTCCCTTTTCACACACGAAAACTCGGAGTCAGACAGACTGCATTGCTCTAACCCAAAAGCAAAATAACCAACCAACCCCCCCAAAAAAAAAGAAAAGAGAGAGCACGTGTCCATCTCTGAGTCTGCTCTCCAGCTACCTGCTCACTGACCGTTGTCTCTGCTGCGTCTTGCAGATGCCACTGAGACAAGCCAGCACTGCCGTCATAAAAGCTGTCCACCTTGCTGAGACTAAGGGCATCACCATCAACAATCTCACCCTGGAGGACCTGAAGAGCATCAGGTTTGTCTCTTTGCTTTTTGCCATAGTATGTGGCAGCAAAGAGCACCCATCACTCTCTACTCACTCCTCTTCTCTTTGCCTTCCCAGCCCTCTGTTTGCCAGCGACGTGTCCCAGGTCTTCAGCATTGTCAACAGCGTGGAGCAGAACACGGCTGCGGGAGGTACCGCCAAGAGCAGCGTGACCACCCAGATTGAGCAGCTGAGGGAGCTGCTGAAGAAGCTGAAGGAACAAGCTTAGAGTGTGGGGAGATATCCCGTGTATGCAGCTTTGTGCTTATCCCACTGGTCTGGAGTTAATAAACACCGTGGTGCATTGTAGTTCACTCAAACTCCTGGCTTGCGTATTTCTTCTAGGGGCAATATTGAGCTGGGCCTCTTCAGCCCTGAGAAGCTGGGGAAAGGTTCATTGGCACAAAATGTTTGGGGTGCTCTCCTCTCTGGCAAGGGAGCTCCTTTAGAGGGCATCTGGGGGAGCTGGTAGCTGGAGAGCAGCAAGAGTCTGTCCACACCAAGAGACCTGCAAACGTATCTGGAGGTGGATGCAGCACAAACCTGGCTCCAGCAGTGTCACAAGGTGCTTGGGAAAGTCTGTGCGCATGCACAGAGCAAGACTCCCAGCACCACATCTCCCAGACATGCCACAAGCCCAGTCAGGCTGCTTCCCTTCTGCAAAGAGGGACTAAGTGGCCAAAGGAAGCCTCCTCACCAGCCAGCACTGAAACTTGCTTAGTCTGAGGCAGGATTTGGCCACAAGGGGATCCCAGCCCATCACAAAACCACTCATTGCTCTGACTTATCTCAAAGTAAAGGGATTGCTTGGTCCTTGTCCAACTTCTGTCCTCTGCATGTCTCAGGTTTGCTCTCCCTCTACGCTAGCTGAGGACATAGCACTTGCCAACAGGCCTGGCTTGCCTGGCTGCCTCTAACGAATCATTTACCACCTTCTCCCCTCTCCTTACAAAAATAAAATCAGAAAAAAAATCCTAGGGAACGCCTTACTTGAGAAATGAAGCGGCAGAAACCTGCTGCTTTTCTTACAAAAATAATAATTATAGAATGCGTGAAACATCACCCCTCTCTTACTGCTCTGCTCTCATTTCTGGATGAAATTAAACTGTTCCTTGATTTAAAAGGCAGAGAAGGAATTGTCTATAGGGAAAATGGGACATTTTCACTAACCAGCAGCCCAGCTTGGCCTTAGCACTAGAGCCCTGCAGGCCTTTGTGCGGCCTCTCTGGGCCTCCATGTGCACGTGGACCGGGGAGCCCTGGGGGCTTTTGTGCGGCCTCCCCAGGCCTCTGCGAACGTGGCTCTGGGAGCCCTGCGGGCTTTCGTGTGACCTCAGCAGGGCTCCTGGATCCACATGTGCATGGAGGCCCAGGGAGGCCGCAGAAAAGTCCCCAGGGCTCCAGGGGCCACATGTCCATGGAGGCCCAGGGAGGCCGCACGAAAGCCCACAGGGCCTCCAGGGCCAGCTGTGCACGGAGGCCTGGAGAGGCTGCATGAAAGATCGCAGGGTCCTGGGGCCAGGTATGCACGGAGGCCCGCGAAGGCTGCATTTGCTCGCAGGGCCTCCGGGACACGCTGTGCAGGGAGGCCAGGAGAGGGCGCAGGAAAGCCCACAGGGCCCTGCTGCGCATGGAGGCCCGGAGAGGCCCCATCTTCTCCCTCCCTCCCTCCCTTCCTCCCTTCCTTCCTTCCTTCCTTCCTTCCTTCCTTCCTTCCTTCCTTCCTTCCTTCCTTCCTTCCTCCTCCCTCCCTCCTTCCCTCCTTCCCCAGGCTATTCTGCAGCTCTGGGCTGGGCTTTCCCCACTCTTTTCACCCATTTAACTCCTGCTTGGCCCCAGGGTGAAGCCCTAGCTCCAGCCAGGCTATGAGCCTGTCACCTTTTCACAATCCTCTTTTCTTCAGCCAGTAGCTGGGAAAATTTTGGCTAGGCACGAACACCCACAGCTTTACTGTAGCCCTTCGTGGCTTTGATCCCCTGCCTTCCTCACATTTAATTATTATTGCTCATGTATTTCCACTGCACTCCTCTGAGCTTCCAGATGCACTGACAGGCACTCAAACACGTGGTATTTGAGGGGTTTTGGTCAATTAATCAGTTGGAGGATCTGCTGCCTGGTTGCAGTGATCTGTGCCCAGCCTGGGCAGATGCCCCACATTTTTGAAGTTCCCACTTGCTTTTCTTTCCCTCTCTTCCCTGCCTTGTATATCCAGCGCCAAGCTAATACACTCCTGAGAGTGACCTGTCCTCTCCCCAGAGCTTACAGCAGGTCACCTCCATGGGGAGAGAGGTTCTTAAAAAAAATATTATGCCATGTAGTATCACTGCCAGGAACTGCGTATCACACTGCACTCCTTACTCACATACTTACTTTGGTGGGTAAAAAAAAATGTAGTCCACAAAAACAGCACTAAATTCTTAATAAACCACGTGTTTCTCTAAATATTTTTTCCTAAGTCGGGGTATTGCCCAAGCATGGTACTAAGGAATTGTTCTCAGCATTTAATTCAGCAGCATGAAAACACTGCAAGTGTTTTTATTTAGGCTACAGTAATCTCCTGGGAGTCCAGGAGTTAAAAACTGTTTGGAAGTTAAGTTGCTCTAAGGGAAATAAAAGAGGCTTCCATGGCTTTAGTTCCTAAACTCCTGTTTGGAAATGCACTGTATCTGTCCTAAGAAAGCTCTTCTTAGTAGACATACTGCTTGCATGTTAAATGAGGTAAGTGCATAGACAATCTCTGCGTTTCATTCTACCTTTCAACCTTTCTTATTTTTTATTTTTTGCAAGGAATTATAACCATTACAATACCATCAGAAATGAAAGACACCCTATATTTACTAGCAGTGCATATTTGCATTTTCCCACTTGCTCTTCAAAGTGCCGTGTTGTTTAAATTCAACAAACCAAGACTCCAAGTGTGAGTCACTTCTTCAGGCAGCGCGTAAACAGCAGTTTTGGCACCGGCACTGAAGAGAAGAGGGTCAAAGGACAGTACAAACTGTCCAGCCTTGTAAAGCACAACTTTATTGCTTTGTTTAATAAATTACTTACTATGATCACATATCCAACAGTGTACGAGTACAGGAGTAATACAGCTGACTAAGTGAGCACAGTATTAACTCGCTGTAAGGTTCAGCGAATCTGTAGGCATAAACTGAAATGCAGAGCATAACTTTCGTAGGAAATAGGCTCACGGCAGGATTCATCTATGTGTAAGTAGCTTCTTTTCGTATACCTCTAATCTACCAGTCTAGGGTTACGAAACTTCTCCCGGTGCTGGACAAATCTTCTCCTGAATCACTGTAGTGTAATCTTAAAAAAAGAGGAATGCAGTTTTAATAAACGCTTTAAATGCAGTATTTTCATGTTTACATTTTGTACCGGATGCTGATTGTAAGTGCCTCTGTTGTGTGTAGTGGTAAAATGCCTTGTTTGTTAATGAGAGCTTTTATTTGAAAAGTTTTAGCTCTCCATGGTAAAGCTTTTGGGAATAAAAGTGTTTATTGTGCTGCCCTGGAGGAGTTCAAGGCTGAAGCTGTTTCAGGATGCTGCTTAGCTTAAGCTTCCTTTGAGTAAGCCTCTCTGAACACAGCTAGAAGTCAGATTTGTGGATTACATTTTAGGGAGGAGAGAACAATTCTTGTTCCATCGGGGCCTATATCAATTTCCTTTTCTTATAAGAGGGCTGCACAAATTAGAAACCCCATCACCAAGTGCGTGGTTTCAATGTCACAAAGGGCCGTGTTAGCAGATCCCAGTACAGAAATACAGAATAGCAGATAAGCTGTGCATAAACTGAACTTGAATTTTAGCCACTACTCCTTCCAATCCCTGTTTTTCAGATGCTCTAAAGCAAACAAACAACAGGGCTGTGCAAGCCACCACATGTTTTGAGGAACTCGGCTGTTCTTGCTTTAGAGATGGAAGGACTTGATGTTTCACCATTATGTGTTGATCTCAAGCCAAGATATGATTCATATTTTACTGGTCTTGCTCAGTTTAAATCATTCTGTTCTTGTATGCTGTAGCGTTTGTGCAATTGAAACATGAGCATACTTGTTACACCCAGTTTGAAATGCAAAACTATCAGACTTTTAAGTGCAGACATTAGAAAAGGCTCATGCGTTTTTTTTTTTTTCATTAGAACACTATTTACCTGTATTTCATATATTAGTGGAGATTGCCTGAAGAAGTTAACTTGTGACCTGTAGGAGGGCACTATTAACAGAGATGTTACTAAATTTGGTAAATAAAGGGGAGGGAGCCTTTAGAGGGAGGAGTGGCACTTTAGCAACTCCTTCTGTTGCAACGGGAATCCAGAACTGTTACAGAAACGTTAATACCCTTGCATTACATCTGACCTAAACAGGCTTAAAGAAGCTCCTGTTACAAAACGTGAAAAGATTCTTTTTTTCTGCTTGAAAACGCAAGTTTTACTTCATCGCTGTTTTCTCTTTGGCTTTCAGCAATTCTTAAAGCTGCTAAATAGCATGTCTTCCAGTGCCGTTGTGCATAGAGCTCCGGTAAGAAAGGTCGCTGTCTTTGGAGGAACTCACGGTAATGAGTTAGCAGGGATATATTTGGTCAAGCACTGGCAAGCGCACGGAGCTGAGATCCAAAGGCCAGGAGTGGAGGTGAAACCATTTCTGTGCAACCCAAGAGCTGTGGAGAAATGCACTAGATACATTGACTGTGATCTGAACCGTGTGTTTGACCTTGGTAGCCTTGGGTAAGAATAGCCGTTCTTTGTGCTATTTTAATTTTCTGCTTTTAAAGTCGCCAGGAGCTTCCCTTCTAGATTAAGCTGTTAACACACATCCCTCTGCTGTTTTAACTGTCACTGAAATTACTGACCCTTAACCCCCAAATAACAAATCGCTTGAATGTAGGATCCACTTAAAAATGTTTGCCTGTACAACGAGTCTCAGACCACCACATAAATCTTTTAAATTCCATTGTAATTTAAGTGTAATCTGTGGGACAAGAAGACTCTAAATAACAGACTGTAAAAATCTGATTAGAAGAAGACAAGGCATGAAGCAAATTATGCAAGACCTTGCAACTGAGACCCGAGCTAAAAGGCATGAAGCATGTTCTGAATGAACACCAGCTTCAGCAGGGGCTGCATCTAATCCTAGAAGTGGTTTTAAGTTGTCGAAAAACCTTGAGTTAGTTTTGCGCATATAGAGAAATTCTGGGTTGTAAGGACTAGAAGTCAGGGTAAAGAAATAGAGGAGAAGCAAATAGTTGTCCAGCTAAGACCAGATTAAAAAATTCCTACCACCCTTCGCACAAGCTACATAGTAATAAGATCTCTTCTATATTAACAGTCAAACTAGGTTATTCAAGCACATATGCATCAACTTTTTAACAGACTGGTAAGAAAATGGGAGATTTTAATTCCAGTCAAACATAGAATTGAAAAGACAAGACTCCACGTATTTGTGTTCACTGTAAAGCCCTGGCATGAGCTTACTAATTTCTTTGCACTCATGTTAACAGCAGAACAGTGGTGGAAGATACTCCATATGAAGTGAGAAGGGCTCAGGAAATCAATCGGATTTTTGGTCCAAAAGGTAGTGATGATGCCTTTGACCTTATTTTTGACCTTCACAACACCACTTCTAACATGGGTTGTACTCTTATTCTTGAAAACTCCAGGGATGACTTTGCAATTCAAATGTCTCATTATATCAAGGTAAAAGTAATTTAAATGAACTATTAAAATAGATTCTTATTTGTAATATTGTGTTACTGCATATTACTCTGTAGCTTCTTCCAATACAATTTTCTGCAAAACTTTAATGACTCACAGGACAGGTTAGTAATAGCAGAGATAATTCTAAATTTTAGTATCAAGTAACTAAGATCTGAACTCTGTTAAAAAGAAGGGCTAGTTCACAATCAATGAAAAATATTTGAAATCTCCTTTAACTATTTTAGGTCTGTTCTGAAACTCTGTAGGGTTTTTTCCCCGGTAGCAAGCTAAAATAGAACTGTGGTCATTTATATTAGCAGACAGCGAAGTTCAGTGAAGCAGGTCTGGCTTGAGCCAACGGGAAGGGCACTAACAAACGCAGCTTTGTTCATTTTCTAAAGATGTCCTACTTCTTTGAGGGCCCTGAAATAAAGGCAGCATATTGAAGACATTGTGTAAATCCCTTCTGCCTCAGCAGTCTTTTGCAGCACAACATTTAAAACTCTTTGCATAACAAAGACATTTTTAAACAATCTTCACAGAACGCTTTGGCTCCAGAACCTGTTCCTATTTTGCTGATTGAACATCCAACCTTGAAATATGCAACAACTCGCTCTGTAGCAAAACATCCTGTTGGTAAATATGAAAACTTGAAATGATTAAAGTTATGCCTCTTTTCATATCTGTTTATTTTGTTACATTACACGGAGTGCTCCAATAGCTGTAACTATTTGTTTGACAAAGTATTTACTAAATAAAACATATGTGATTATCTGTTCTTTAAAAGAGCACTCGTTTTTGCTTGGCTTACAAAATACAGAAGTCTCATAGCATTTGAAAAAAAAAAGGTTTACTTCCTCTAAATATGATGAAATGTTGTTTGCTAGCCAATAAAGGGGAAAGAATTGATGTAATAAAGGAAGGCGGAAATGAAACCATACCCATAGACCAAAAAAAAATCATGATTTCATCTATCTTATTAAACAATAAGTTGTGAAAAAGGTAGTGTGGAAAGGAGAAGAAGAAATAAGAGAAATGAATATAGATCATGACATTCCTCTTACGTTAGTAGCCCCTTCAAAAATGTATATATGGTCCTTTGGTACTAACTAGTGAGCTAAATTTCCTGCTTACTTTATACAATCATATACTTTTGTACTTTAAGATTAATTTTAAACATAAAGAGCTATGTATTCCTGCTGTGTATTCTAAGCATGTCATATGGGATGCTTCTGTTAATAATCTCCCTCCTTTGTGAAACAGGTGTGGAGGTGGGTCCGCAACCACAGGGTGTTATTAGAGCTGATATTTTGGAGAAAATGAGGAAGATCGTGAAACATGGTCTTGATTTTGTGCAACTTTTCAATGAAGGTAGAGTAAGTGATGTAAGAAGGCAAGATAATAATCAATAGATTATTTTAAATATATATATGTATGTATACACAAACACATTCTCTTGCAATAGATTGGGCTACAACTTTTTAGAATTAAATAGATGACACTTTGGAGGAAAAGGAATAATTTCAGCATTACTGCCCAAATTGAGGTCAGGGCTCTGTATGCAACTGGATCCCCTTTCTGCAATTTGTCTTTTAGTGGACTAAAAGAGCTGGACCCGGACATTTTTATGATACCTGAGCAAATCACTCATGTAAATTTTGATGAGGTACAACCTTATGGCTTAAGCCATTCTACGGAGAATAACTAATGCAATGCTGTTTTTAACACCAAGTTGTTCATTTCAACCTTGAATTACATTTATTCTTTCCAGGACAAGAATTTCCACCATGTACAATTGAGGCTTACAAAATAATGGAGAAAGTAGATTACCCCAGGAATAAAAATGATGAAGTTATTGCTATTATTCACCCTAAACTACAGGTAAAGTCTATATATAATTTCAGATGGAATTATTATAATTATTCATGTGCTGCTTGTGTTATTTGCTATTAAAAATAAGCTATTGAAAATGACAATAGTACCAAGGGATTTACTGAATAGTTTAGGCTCTCCATCTAGTAGGTTGCATCACTAAAATTATACAGTATTCTAGTGATCAACTTGGGAATTTCTGAAACCAAAATCAATTTTGAAGCCCAAACTGAAAGGAAAAAAATGTATATAGAAAGAGAGCTTATATTCTAAAAGGTAAATCTCATTTCAGATTCTGAAATGGTCTGTTTTTAATCAATTATGAACAGAGACAATTTCCTTCTCGCTCACCATTACTGGTGAATTCTATAGAAGCCTGAAAACTAGACTGAGGAAACCAAACATCAGTAGTGAAGATTAAAAGGACCAAGAAGTAATTGCCATAAACTGCAGAGACTATAACTTTTATTTTCTTTCTCTAAGGATCAAGATTGGCAGCCCCTGAACAAAGGCGATCCTCTGTTTTTGACTCTCGATGGAGAAGTTATTGAATATAAAGGGGACAGTACTTTCTATCCGGCATTTATTAATGAAGCTGCATATTATGAAAAGAAACATGCTTTTGTAAAAACAGTCAAAGTAAAACTCACTGCAGAGCTCCTCAGATCTGAGATCAGAACATTTAAAAGCTGCTGATCGATTTTATGCACAAAGCGTATATCTCTCCTCTGTGAAATTAATTTTTAAAAAGTAGTAGTATATGGAATAAATGCAGAACCTAATTTAAAGGATTAATTTAATTGACATTGCTGAGCACTTTTAAGACCAAATCTACTGTCATAACGCGAATTATGACTACCTGTTTACCCATTCTAATGGTTTACTATGGATACAAAGAATATTATGGAGTTAATTCATACTATATATAAAATATTTAAACAATAAACCATGAATTGATTAGCAGCTATAAAACTTCTTTCAGAGTCACATATAAATATGCTTATTCTGCAAATTAGATATTAAAAAAAAAAACCAGATTTTTTACTTTATAACTCCAAATCTAAGATAACCCACACTTTAAAGACAGGGTGATGCTTGAAAATAATTCCTCAGCTAACCCATACATGAGTTGAGACAAAAGAAATAGGTTAGGAAGAAAGTGGGAGAGGGGAGTTGTGTATTAAAATTCCTTTGTATTACCTGCACATGCGACTAACCCCTCTTGCACCTAAGTGGAAGGCTTAAGGTTAATTTTGTTCTGCTTTTTTATGCTTATAAAGATACAATACATGCTAAAACATGTATTATTTTTGAGGAAAAAAACACTAAAATACCCTTTGAAACAAAATATTGTAAGATTAATACAAACTATTTCTGATTTATCTTTAAAGACAAATAATTTTGAGAGCATCCCATACTTACAAACTTACTGGAGCAGGATTCTACTTTTTAAAAAAAGGTGCTTATCCTTTTTGCAAGGATCTCTATTGCAATGAGAACACGAGTTGTTCAGAGTTTTTAAACACTTTTTAGCTGCATCCACTTAACTACTTCTAACATTTTTCCAAATACAACATTCATCAACTGTTGTACCCAAAAGCCATTAAAGGCAGCAGCAGGATGAGCTAAAATTATCTGGATTTTGCTGAAGAGCAATGCACAGGTCATAAGCAGGTATCTCAGAGCAGAAATTAAGAGGGATTTTGTACTTAGAGACTTAGAATTTCAAGACTCAGCTGTTCTGTATTTGTAGAAACAAATGCCATCAGAGTGACAGAGAAGAGGAAGAAAATATGGAATTAACATTCTGCAATTGTTTTAACGTATTTGACAATAATCAGAGACAGAAAACATGAACAGAAAACATAACAAAACTTGACAAATTCTGAATACATAAAATAATTAGCTATTCACTAAAAGCCTCTTTGTGCAGATAACCCCCAAATATATGTAATTTGGAAAGTGATCCACTCACTACTCAGAAAAAAGCTTTCCTTGCTTTCTGCAGTTCTAATACCATAGCAATAATAAAAACAGAGGGCAAAAGGAGGTGTTTATTGAATTACATGTTTTATTTCTTTATATTTAAATAAATATTGTATAAAAAACTTCAGATTGATCTGCTGTAGTCATTCATAGAGTTCTTGATCAGAGCCTCAACAGTCATACGAGCTAGGAAGCAGCTGGTTTGCGTGATCTGGCAAAGCTCTGTGGCCAGAAACACCAAGTATTTTTTCAGGAACTTCTAGAAACAGTCCCCCAGCATCTTCCTCAGTTTCATCACACCCTTTTGGACTTGGTCACGATCTCAGCAAGTTCCTTGCGTTTGTTGCATCTTCTCTATTTTCTGGCTTTGCCCGCATAGTAACTTCAACATGGCACAGAGACCTATGAACTTGTCTTAAATCTACCCCGAGCAACATGGAGCACAGTGCAAGCTAGTTTATTCTGGTTCCTGAGTATATGTGAAGAGGTATTTTTGATACAAAAACTGGCATTCAAAAGAATCCAAACAGAACTACGTAGTCCTAAAGCAGTCTTCTTTGTTGACAGCTTCAATACAAAATAAACGAGCAGAGATTAGAGATACCCAGAAGACAGGGATTGTTCTTCTCATATTCACATACCCTAGTAAGACCACCAAAAAAACGCTTACATATTATCCTGGTGCACACATACTCATCACTCTCCTTGCCCTCAAGATTCCTATCCCTTGTAAAACAGTAACCAAATGGAAGATTTCTCCTTGACCCTGTCCCTTAGGGCCAAACGTGGTGGGGAACACACGATACATCATCAAGAGAAGAGCAGGTTGTAGCAAGATCCGTGTTTACTGTTCCCACAAATAGCTTTGCACTGTCCTCTCTGCTGCAGAGTTCATTCATGCTCCCTTTTGTGGTGAAACAGCCTTTTGGAGCATTTTGCCTGCTTTAGGATTAACTATGAAAATCCAAAGCAACCATTATTATTCAGGCATAGAACACTGTTTACCCGTTTTCTTAATAGCACCTTTAAAACAGGCACCAAATCAATACATTAGATGAAAACCTACGACAGTTAAGACACATACTATATTAACTGAAGGCTGAAAGTCTACAGAACAGATTTCTTTTTCCATATACATAAATAAAATAGAAAACTAAAAACATACATCATAATCCTAGGTCATCACAGATAATGAAGTAAAAAATGCTATAGAAATGCATTACACAATCCGTTGAATAATAATAAAAAAGCTTAAAAGATCTGTAATTGTATTGCATTTAACTTGTTTTGATTCCTTGGAAAAAAATACTGACTTCCAATATTTGTGAAGTAGTTGATTGTAGAGGTTAATTTACTTAAACCTGAAGAACTTCAGATGTGGTAACACTTTCCATGCAAGACGATGCAACAGCATGGAAAATCCAAGTAGGGACGGCAAAATTAAAGTCCCTGTGATTTGAACAAACTCAAAAGTATTCTTCATCAAATGAATTATGTTTCTTCCCTATTATTTTATAGCAAGGCATGTACATATACCCTCCAGAATAAGCAAAACCAGTAAACTCATTATATCCGATAATTTATCCACAAGAAAACAGATCAGCAAAGCTAATGAGAATTGAAGGGGGAGTCTTTTCACTTGAGGCTTTCTTCAGCTTGCTAGATCAAGCCCCCAATAACACTGACAGTTAATATGAAAGGTTCAACTGTATTTAGAACACATTTCAAAATAACGTATTTCACTTGGTATTACTCAAAATTGAAATGCCCTTCTTTTCTCCACAGCAAGAACTCCCTTTTTCAGTATATTATCCCTCATTAGTTAGAGATTCCAAATCAGTGGACTAGACCAAAAATCTTAATTTTCCAAAAGAGGAAGGAGTGTCTCACACTGGACTCTTTCAAACAGTGCAAAGTCTGGAGCCAAGTTTGAGTAGTGTCACACACACCTCGACAACAGTGTTTCCCCTCCAAATCCGAACCAGTGAAATAGTCCATTTCAGCTTAGCTGCCCTGATTTCATGGGTTGAAGTTACCAGATCGTGTTTGTGTCACAGCTGGTTGCAGCTGTCTGAAATATCAGCAAAGATTCCAACATCAGCTCCTAATGCTGACGTGCAACGAAACAGAAACAGTGTGCAGCTAAACAGAAGTTTCAGGCAAATCATCCATTTCGTCAAAGGTATTCAGGGTGTTTTTGCTGTTAGTTCTTGAATTATCTTGATCTTTACTTGGATCTGCAAAAAAATGCATTAGAAACAAAACAGGATATGGCAGAAACTGCAAGATCAAGCTTAAAAAACAAATGCATTTGTCTAAAACAATGAATTGCCAGTTTACCACCATATCTCATACAGAAGCTTTTCTATCTGCCCCTTTCAGCTATTAATGAGATCATTCTATTAAGAATTGTAGGTACTAATTGACTAGAGAACAACTTCTAAGTTAATCTCTCTGATCCTCATACACTCCTATGGTAACTTGAGGCTGGCTGCCAGAAGGACATCTGATGCCCCCATGTTAGGTCATTTCTGTATCATACTTTCAACAGTGTCAGCAGAGGGAATCTGGAATTTCCTGGTTAACATTCCCAAGGGACAATTTGTCATCTAATATGTATCACAAAATGTAAACATGAATCTTCCAAGCTAAAACACAGCAAAGTATTGGGTAGAGTCAGCGTGACTTCCTGCCAAATTTTGCAAGGATTTATATGACTACGCAAGGAGTAAGACAATGTTATAATGACAAGTACTCTTTTCCCTCTGTTGAAAAGTTATTCAGGTTTACACCTGAAAATACCATAAGAGAATGTAACTCTTCAATCAAACATAACTGCTTGGAGAAAAATGAATAACAGCAAAGAAAAAAAGCACGACATTTAGGAGCTGCAACACAACTTATAAGAATTAGAGAGCAACCTTCTCTCCAAATAACTAAAAATAAGTTTACGCCCCCATCATACTAGTCACCGGTTTCTCTAGCAGTAAAGAGAGTGGCTGAAGATCCAGATTTTGAGTTTATATTTTAAAGCAAACAAAAATATTACAGTATTTAAAAATTAAAAAAAAAAAAGTTTTACAAAAACAGTGGTGTAAAATTCAACAGTACCTGTTGGCCCTGGGTCTTCATTAATGAATGAAACATGCGTTTTCCACTCATTCCACTTCACTTCGTTAATTCTGTTTGTATTGTATATAAAGTGTATTATTAGAATGCATTATCTTCCAGCTACCCAGCCATGCCTCCCCTTAGATTTCCTCATTCCTCTTGGAATTGTCATGGTTTACCACCAATACCTGCTTTGCTACTACTAAAAGGATGAATGTCTTTTGCAATATTATGTATGGTATGTGGAAGAGAATAATGCTCAGACTATTTAATGATTTCACACATTATGAGCACAAGCTTAAAATTAAGAGTACATATATGAGTTTCTCAGAAAACAGCAGGGCAACATTTTTTCAATATGCTAATCATATCAATTAGCAGTCAATTATAATTTCTTTTAAACTAATATTCAAAGGAGATTACAATGAAGCAATGTCTACTGGCTAAGACTTGGTATTCATACATCAAAAACATAGATGAAGTTGAAGAAAATCTATTTCCTGCCCCCAAAATAGTTTTTTCCTTCTTTTTAACCATTGATCACAACTAAAAGACCCTAATCAGAATTTCATACAATATATTTACCATTTCTTCATATAAAATCTAAGCATTAAAAGCAGAAGGTATGTATAGAGAAGCTTTGAAGAGGCTTTTAACAGAAATAAGTTGGAAAAAAAAACAGTAACAAAATATTGTATCACTACTTTACCTTAAGCACACCCTGCTGTCATTTTCAGCCACTTTACACCGTTCTCCCAACTGGAATTTTTTCCTCCAAAACCGTGGTAAGAATTTTTCAAATTCCAAAATGGTCCTGGCTCTCTGTTAACAACAAGAAGTAATGCAACTATAGCTAACCACATTCAAACTTGCCTGATTTCGCAGCACACAGTTTTCAGGCTCCATGTTTCATCATAACATGTCATAGCTCCACTCATCGTGTGTAATCTACACCGACATCAACAGCAGCAAATATTAGCTCATACCGCTTGTTATTTAGCATGCACAAGTAGGAAGGCTGCAGTTTCCTCTAATTAGGCCCATTTCAGGAGACATATGCAGAGATGAAACAAGAAAGTTTCTTGTTTCTACAGACAATAACACTGTCATGCAATGCTTTGTCCCAGGGATGTATGTATGTCCTGTAGCTGGATGCTGCCAAGCACACAAAGCAACTCTTAATTCTGACTGCGCCTTCTCTGGCAGCTTGGAATACTTGGAATATTTGGAATAACTTCAATGGGAGTGAACTCGGGCATTGTGCAAATTGAACAGAAGCAGCTCCAGAATGCAGTATGTTACCGTTATTGGGGCAGATCTTAACACACACCTTTCTGGTGCCATATCAAGGGGGATGTCATAAAGGTGTGGGCATGACTGTGCATGAGGTGGTAAATCTAAGCCCCAATTTATCTTTAGAATAGCTACCAATTCCAGAGTTACCAGATTACACCAGTACTACAATTAAGTAATCTCCCTTATTTGCATCCATATACATAATCCCATCTATCCATGTGGTAAGTGTAAAGGTAAAGCTCAGAAGATTTTGGCCAGTGCATTTCTACATCACTAAGCAAACAAACCTGGAGTTTCCAAATGTGCTCACTCTCCTTAGAAATATCTTCTACAGTCTCTCCCATTAATGCAATAAGCATGTTCAAGAGAAGAACAAAAGTCAACACAACATAAGTTATGAGGAGAAGGAGAAACAGCACTGGATACTTGGAATTCTCTTGGATCTCCAGATCTCCCAGTCCTAGGGTGAGCTTGAAAAGATCCATCAGAACAGGGCCCAGACTGTTGTTGGAATGGCACTCACCGCCATCTGGGCAAGT